TTTTTTGCACTTCTCTGCCCATCCCTTTTTTTTAAATCCAAATACATTGATGGGTCAACAGTACACCCTTGATGGATATATACTTATCTGAGGTGTCTGTGCCTCTTGCCGCATTGCATTCCCCTCAATGGTGGGGAAACTATTTTATTCATTTATTAGATTTATACCCACCCATCTAGACTAATTGTCTACTCTGGACCATTCCATTCCATTCCAATTCCAAGGTCGCCAATGCAGTGGAGTGATGCTCCATAGGCTGATGTCCTGGGATGCCTAGAGGATTTGGGGAATTATCCAAATACGCTCCGTTTCCTCTCTACTTTCTGGATAGTGTTGGACTTTCATCATCATCATCACCCTTCTTTTACCTTTACAGTCCTCTGCTATTCCCAATTTGTGAATTCTACCCGTCCCCTTCAGTGTGACTGTTCCCTTAGGTTTTTGCCTCAATACTCCCTTTACTGTTTTTGACTCAACAACTGGCAGATAACAGCACAGTTGTGCTCACCTCCCTGCTAATTTATCATCTGTAAAAGGTTAGCTTCCACTTTACGCAAGGTTCTACTTACCCATCCCTCTCTTCCCTGAGCTTGGCAGCTCTCCTCCTCAACCCTTGGCTCTGGTTTATGTCTGTCAATGTAGAGCTTGGGATAGCAACAGTCAGCACTGAACTGTGGGTTGCTCCAGGTGTTAAAAAATGATAACAGTTGTTCACATAACCAGTTCCAAAGCCCCAAGGAGAATTATATTCCCAGGCTCAAAATTAAGAATGGGCAGCAATTGCTGGTTCCATTCATAAAAGTTAGTACTGAGTATAGGTGTTTTTCCTGAACAAATATAATTTTGAAATGACTGTGCTTGAGGATCAATTTGGCAAAGCTGTCTGAATGAGGGGAGGGGTGGTATGGGATGGGGGGGGGAAGTTGAGGATTTTTTAAAATATGTGCCTTGATTTTTCTATGTTAAAATAAAGTACTTGTATTCTTCTTTTTAAACCTTGCATGCTTCTTTCTAGTGGTAATGGGAGGGAAAGGTTCCGTTGGATTTGAGGAAAGGATTTTCCGGATTTCACAAACACTGACAGCAAATGAAGAATAATCAGAAGTGATCTGGTTAGTTAATTAATTAAATTTAAAAAAAAAGAATAACCAGAAGGGCAGTTCTGCCTTCTTGTTTTCAATGCTGCATTCACTACCATTCTTGTTTATAAATGAAGATATAGGCAATGGTATATCACTCAGGTCATTTCAAGTAGCACAAAAGCAGTTACGAACATTCACAAGTCACTTTCAGTACTTGCATGCCTGTGCTCAAAACTGACTTCTGGGATATATTGCAACTGACATATTCAGTCCTATTGCCTCATATGTCTTTATTGTTGTTTAGTCGCTGAGTCGTGTCCAACTCTTTGTGACTCCATGGATCAGGTGAGGCCCTCCTGTCTTCCACTGCTTCCTGGAGTTTGGTCAAATTCATGCTGGTAGCTTCAATGATTTTTTTAGTGGTCTAGAAAGTATCACCTACTCTTGCATTTGGAATCTGAGCAGAAAGAACCTCTACATTTCAAGGAACTGTTTGGCCAGGGGGACATTGGCAAATAGTTTCACTGCTTAATTATGTGGGATGGCAAAAGAACTTTTCAGTTCATACTGAATGAGAAGCTCAGTATCAGTTTCATGTTATCATATGGGCCTACGGTCATCTCTTGGGTCACGGTCTAATTAGTGATATTCAAGATGTAAAGTAGAGATGGGCACTTTGTATTAGTATTTCAGGGATATGAATATGACTGCAGGTGTCGCAAGGGTCCAATTCCCTCCCCCAGAACTGGCTGGACCACTCACCGGGCTCTACATGGTGCTGGGATCCTTCATCATCATTGGTACATCGATCCTGGCAGGGGCCCGGCTGGCTCTTCCCTGCCTTCCCACACAGCCAGTCACTTTGATGCCCAGGTGAGGCGGGGAGTCTCCCCACTCAGCTAACAAGTGGTCAGCTGCGCTGGGAAGCAGGGAAGGGGCAGCGGGGTTTCTGTTAGAATTGGAGCACCAACGATGGTGAAGTACCCCAGGACTGCACGGAGCCTGGTGAATGGCCCAGCCAGGTCTGGGGGAGGGAACGGCCCCGCCCCCAGCACTTGCAGCCCTGCAGGTTGTATTTGTGTCCTCGACATATGAATACAAAGTGCCTGTGTCTGATGCAAAGAATGAAGATACACGTAGGTCCTTGCTATACAGGACGATTACTGAGGGATTTCTTGTTGCATGTCAGCTGTCTGCATGTGAGGGATACAAAAATGTACCTGTTCTGCTTCCAGGACTAGGGGCATAATTTGTTGTATCTCTCTCTCATATACTGATGTCAAAACTTGTTTGATCTTGTCACTTGACTACTTAGATAATAGTCTCTTTAAATAATCGCAGGAATAAAGTCTTTATAAGCTTCATTTATTTCCTCTCTTCCCCTTTTGCTGCCACCAACTTTTAGCTGCCTCTATGTCTACTTGCTCCTTCACTCAGGTGTTTATAATACATTCCACATAGCCAACCCTCAGATACTGAGCTCCACACCATTCTTCTTGAATTAATTTTACAAAGACTTTATTAAAATAACAGTGTACGAAGGATATTATTTATTCTTAGGCTTCAAGATTATTCAGCACAATTCTTTACTCCCTTTATTACGTCTCTCTCTCTCCCTCAAAACTCCTAGCTTTTTTTATTGTTGTGATCTGCAACAATTCCAATATTATTCTCACATGTAGTATTATGAGATAGGAGTCTCCTCAGTGGTACAGTGCCACAGCACAACAGAGCTGACTACCAAGACCTTCTGACCTGTCTGTGAAATTATAGCAACCCAGAATTCTCATTGTGTTGTATCTCTGATATGGTAATGTAGTATTTGCATGACAAATCCTAAGGCTTTCAAGAAAGAACATTGTTTTAGTGCATGCTGCACCCTTTAAAAATGACTACCTGAGACATCATCTGGTAAGTGGTGCAATATGGTTTGGATGCTGCTGTCCCATAAAATCTCTACCCTATCTTCTTAGGCAACCAGTTCTTACTGAATGAATTACATCAGACTAGCTATGGCCCTGTTTATCCTGGTCTCTGTCTGCAAGTGCCAGTCAGCTGGAAAATATGAATGATAAGGAATGCAGTCTCCTCTTTGGGGATGGTGAAAACCCCTCCCTCCAAATAAAGGTAAAGGTAAAGGTTCCTCTTGACAATTTTTGTCCAGTCGTGTTCGACTTTAGGGGGCGGTGCTCATCCCCGTTTCCAAGCCATAGAGCCAGTGTTTGTCCACAGACAATCTTCCGTGGTCACATGGCCAGTGTGGCCCCTCCAAATACAGGGATCTAATTACTTGTACAGTAGATAAATAGATAAAATGGACAGTTTGATGTATCCCAGTTACACTCAGTAGCTTAGTTTCTGTCTGATGTCACTTCACTGCAATAAAAACTGTTGCTTGCTTCTGTGGATTTAAAAGCTGCATTTGACTTCCTGATATGACCAAAATTATGTGCTAAATTATGGAATCTACAAATGAGAGGACAACTTCCATATCTTTAAAAAAGCATTTTACCAACATTCATCAGCACAGCTATGTTACCCTCTAGTAGATAACTTCTACACTATACCTTCAAGAATAAAAGTGTTGGACATGGATGTGCTCCTGCCCTTTTACCATTTAGTTTATATCTTTCAGAACTATTTGAACTTCTTACAAGATTATATAATTCCCCAAATGTGGTAGTTCAGAGGTCATAAATTTTGCTATTTGCTAATGATGTGGGTCTATTAATTCATTGCATGCTAAGTTTAATAAGTCTATTGCTTAACTCCATAGAAAAATGCAGAATTAGTGCAAGAGATCTAAATTATGGGAAGACAAAGATAATAATTTTGACTAAAATATAAATAACAATTAAATAGTTAAGTCATCAAACAAATATATTCATATAAACACTAGAGTCTACACTTCTAATTCACTTTAAACTGAAATAGAACAAAACGTTTTTGGGCGCCATCTTCCATATTAATTACAACAAGAGAAGAAGGTAGGTTTCCACTGTACATCAAGATAGGAAATGTACTCAAATCCTTACAGAGTATAAATATGGCTTAGGAACCACTTGAATACATATGAAAAATTGTAGGCAGTTTTTTAAAAAGGAAGGTCAAAACTCTTCCAAAATATGTGGAAATGGCACCCCTAGAGTCAGGGTTATGCACAGGAGCAAGCAGAATTGTTTAGGGCAGGGGAAGATATGGTGGGAATAAGCAGCTTCAGCAGCATGTAAAAGGGAAGGGCAAGGGAGTATTGGTTGCCTTTATCACCAAATTGAAATAATTCAGATAGCCTTGACAATAGAACCATCAGCTGAAAGTACTGCTGCTAAATGCAAGGCTGGTAAATCAGAAAACTCAAGGTGGAGAGAAGGAATATATAAAAGTAAAAGATAATAGCAGAAGAACCACATGTAGGGAAAATTGACAGTTTTCACCTTTGAGCATCGTGATGGGCCTGTTAGTTGTTAAAAAAATAACAGTGGCAGTAGATAACAGCATAAGTTTTTACATTTGATAATGACTTAAGAAGCCTAGGCTTGAATATAAGCTCATGCCAGTATTTCTCCCCACACACACACACGTATGTCTGATGAAGTGGATTTGTCCACAAAAGTTTACATTCAAATAAAATATTTAGTCTTTAAGTTTCCACATGTTTTCCTCTTGTTTTGTTCCTTTGGATTTTGTCTGATACACTTGCACAGACTAACATGTCTACCTCTTCTAAAACTACCACTCAGTCTGTGTGGCTAAGATGGAGAATCCCAGCTGGTTTAGGTTTAACGTGGCATTCACTGGATCATTTCAAAACTACTTTCAGTAATTTCAAATCAGTGTTGTCTTATTTATCCTGTACAGATTTATCAGGAGTAAGAACAGATTGGCCTCTAGGAGGAACTCATGACTTGCTCATCTTACCTGCCCAGTCCAAGAATTCAACACACTCTGTTTTATTGTAGCGATAGGCAATATCTCTGGCTTTCTCACCCCGGAAGGTGGTTGCATAAATATCTGCTTCCAACTCTATAAGAGTTCTCAAAGTCTCTAGTTGACCCCAGGCGGCAGCACAGTGGAGAAGTGTATAACCTGAGAGAATAAGTCAAATCAATATTCATAGTTGCAAAAAGAATACCTGTTTGTGGCACGCTGCTTCCCCATAATATATTCGTTTGGGGAAAAAAAATCCCCATTTTCCCAGAAGGTTAATAAAGGATGGTTAGCAGTATCTATATAGCAATTTTCTTCTTCCCTTTTAAACTTAAAGCAATTTTCCTTCTCCCACCTAGATCTACCCAAATCACTCGCCATAGCCAGGAGGGACGGTTGAGGGGCCTAATGCTGAGAGGGGCCCGGAAAGAAAGAACAAGAAACCGAGCCTTCTCGGTAGTGGCCTCTCGGCTCTGGAATAACCTCCCATCAGTGAGTCGCCTGGCTCCCTCGCTGGGTGGTTTTAAGAGGCAATTAAAAACTTGGTTCTTTAGGCAGGCCTTCCCTCCTGTCAATACTTGATTTTATTTTTATTATAATTTTCAGTTTTATTTATTTATTTTATTTCTTTATTTGATTTTTACCCCGCCCCTCTAGACCATGTCCCATTTGAGCATTACTTAGCATTACTAATCACTATTGTTTTGAATTGTTTTTAACTGTTTTAGCTTACAATGTTTAACGGAACCCACCCAGAGTAGACTTTGTCTAAAAGAGCAGGATAGAAATCTAATAAATAAATAATAAATAAAATTTTAAAAAACTAAATTTTGATTTAAGGCATTACCACTTTCCCAAACAAAGAATGCACCAAACGTAAGCTTCCTTATAACAGCTACTGACCCTTTTCTATAGAGCTCCTGTGCTATTTGCAGCTTACTCTTAACAATCCAACTTTTAATCTTTTCTTAACTGATTGATGCTCTTTTCATTATGTATCTCTGTTCACATGTATATGTAAACATGCATGTATACATGTGTCATAACAAACAAACAAAAAGAAACAAAACATAACACTGAACAGGTGAAGACCTATAAATACCTAGGTATCATTTTTCAGACAACTGGGCTGTGGAGAGCCCACATGCCCATTAAAATGCTCAAGAACTGCCACTGCCATTTTGATATTCTTCTTTTTAAAAGGGGGCTCATAAATATAATCTGTACTATAAGCAAGGTACTGATACAACTACTGTACAGGCTTCTGCATACATTAGTGATTCCCAATCTGTGGCATGCATACTCCCAGTACAACCCAGGACATTTAAGTGTAAGTGAAAAAAACCTTAATGGCAGGCAATGGCTCATGCGTCAGAGTAAGTCACTAATTTATATCTTGAGCAGTGAGAAATCCCTTGGCCTCTCCCCATCCACCACATGAGAACCCAGGTAATCAGTTCTCACTCTCAGGTAGCATCTGTTCTTGTTCTGCCATTAATGCAGGGGCTTGTGCCACCTGCTTGTTTCCCATCAACTGTAGTTTATATAGGACAAAATTCCTTACAGACTTTAACTCTTTCACTGACAGGCTTGTGCACACTACCAGAGAAAATGAGGAAGTGGCTGTAAGATGAGAGGGTAGAGAGCCCCCCTAGTCCTGCTCTCCTGTACGAAGGAAAAAATTTAAGGCTGCCAAGGGGTAAAAAAGAGGAAAAAGAAGGTTGAGAACCACTGGCATACATAAAGACATACACCCCCTTGAGGGAGTACAGACTAAATTCCTGAGAACGGTATATGGTATACCACACTGTATATTCCCTAATGCCCTACTTGTAATAAAAGCTGGAATGGCTCCACTTGAAGCAAGTTTGTGGTTTCAAATCAATCTTTGGCTGAAGTTAAAAGTTAAAAGAGCATTCAAGACATGTTATCTGCTGGGCTACAATAGATCCAAGGAGGGATGGAGCAACCAACTGAAGAAATTAAAGAATTAAAATTAAAGATATTAAAAGCCAGAGATTTAAAGCCAAATTGCAGAAAATAAAAAGGATATAGCTAAAATAAATGAACTTCCAACAAAGATACAGTGGTGCTTCGCTTAACAATGTTAATTGGTTCCATAAAAAAATCGTTATGTGAAAACATCGTTAAGTGAAACACCATTTCCCATAGGAATGCATTGAAAACCGGTTAATCCGTTCCAATTGGAACAGATTAATGCTTGCAATCGTTAGCCCACCTCCTGAAACCTATGCAAACTTAATTTGGTGTTGTTCTGAGTCGTCGTTAATTTTGGGTGATTTTTTTTCTCTCT